AGAGGGGGGGGGGAGTTTATGCATGAAAGACAGAGTGAGTGAATGAATGAGCATGTGTGCATTTTACTCAATCTTGTTTTTTTTGTGCAAGTGCCTCAGATTGCAGTTGCTTGAGAGAGAGAGAAGAGTCTAGAGAGAATCTATTTTGTTTTTAAGATTCCTTATTTTCATTTCTCTTATATTTAAGACATTTTTTAAGAGGATGTCTTCCGTTAGGTCTTACTTCATTTCCCATTCCCATATTATTTGTGAAAAGTGACGCTGTTTCATAATGTATTAAATTTATTCCCATGTTTTTCAAATATCCAGGCAAGGTGGTGGTGGTCCTGTCAGGCATCAAAGCTCTGTTAAACTCAACAAGTTCTTTGGAGAAACTGTGAGTAACATATTCCTAAAAGCTGCTTGTTTGATCAGTCAGTCGCGTAAAATTAGACCTTAAAAAATGAATGTTGACGGAGAGCTAGCTAAAGGTGACTGTATCCAAAGTTCATGATTGAGAAAGTGAATTTTTATGACAGGATGTGAATAGAAACAGGCAGTACTTGGGTTGTTGAGCGAAGTTTACTGAAATGTGGAGTGAATGTCTCAGTTTTTGCTATTTTGGGGATTTTGGCGAGAATTAACACTATGAACTGTGACTCTCAGTAGATGATACAGGAAATTGGGCAGTTGTAGACTTTATGTTCTTCTTCAGTTTTTTTTGTTGCTTACATTTCAAAGTACGAGGGGTGTTCAATACGTCTTTACACTATGAAGGAACTGTCATGTAACAATGAAACTTTGAGAATGGGATTTCTATCTATCCTGAACACTGTAAGTGGGGATCTGAGAAAATTCGAACAGTGAGAATTTGACTGCATTTTCAGTGAATATAGTTCTTGAATTCCAAAAGATAGTGTCATGTTCAATGGAAACGATGTTTTCAATGAAATCTTTTTAATATCGATCTATAATAAAATGTATTTATTTACAAGGAAAATCACCAGCAACAATTTTTGAGGAAATGTTAAGCATTTTCCTTGGTGAGTGCCCACCTTATGAAACTTAAATGTTGGACACGGAAGTTTACACCAAACTGTCTTCATTCTCCATCTCCATCACCAGAGAAGGCAAAGGTGGAACTTTTAAGTGAAAAGTTTATGCTTTTCTGATTTTGAGACACCGAGGGAATCATCTTTACAGATTACTTAGTAAATGGGCATACAGTCACTGGGGACCATTATTCAGCGTTGTCGATGAAACCATGATCTGTCTTGGACTAGTAAAGCTTAAAGATGATGGAACCTGTGGAAAAAATCATGCTGCACAACAATGTTCTAGTGAACAGAGTGGTGAAGGCAACTCAGACAGCAAAGCAGTGTTGCTACAAAAGTCTCCCTCAGCCACCCTATTCACTGGATACAGCACCCTCTGATTTTTTTCTGCTTCTCAAATCTGGGGGAAAAAAAACCTCTCAGTCTCAGAGGACAGCATCTCCGTAGTGATGAAGATGCTATATCTGCAGTGCAGGAATGATTTCATTCGCATTTGAAGTCATATTATTCTAAGAACTTTTGAAAGTCAAACAGAAGGCAAAAGTGTGCCAATTTACAATGTGACTATCTTGAGAATAAGCATTGTGTGCGCCAAATTTAAACTTTCTAGCTTGTTTCTTTCATATTCAGGGTACAGATTTATTGAACGCAACTCGTACAGTCAAACTTGCTCAGACGGCCACCTGTATAAGGCAACCGCCTGTACAGTGGCCTTTTACCATATTTCCCTATGTGCTTTTTTAATATTGTAAGGACACTTTGTAAAACAGCCCCCTTATTCTTTGACCATGGGTGGCTGTCTTAGACAATTTCAACTGTATTCAAGTGTTTTAAAAATATTGTCTTTCATTCATATTTATGTTGATGCTATTGTTTGTGCTCAGTTTAGAAACGTTTAACATGAAATTTGTGAAGACAATGATAGAACATATTTGCGGCTATGTTGGATTTCAATGTGTTCATGTCAGACTGTTGTAGCTTTATGCCTGAAGTTTTCCTTTCTTTTTTCGCTATTTGTCCAGATACCTGAAGGTGTTGAGGTCAAGACCACAGAGATGGAAGATTTCCCACAGCTCATCAAGAAAGGACTTCTTTCTTGTAAAATCTCAGTCGTTGAGGGAAAGGTAAGCTGCATAGTCATGGCCTGTGCTGTTACACAATGCTGGATGTTTCTTGTCGGGTCAGGACACGTGAAACACTACTTCATTCCTTCTTAGCTGTGAACCTTCTTCACATGCTAGTTCTTTAAGACCAGACAATGTCAGAAAAAATAGTTCTGCAAAAAAAAAAAAAAGTGCTCCTTCCTACTTTTACTGTACAACATTGTGCATTAAGCACTTTCTCAGTGGAGATGTGCTATATAAATATAGTTTATTATTATTATGATTTTTGTTATGGTTATTATTATCATTTTCATTACTATTATCTAGTTTTGGTATTTCTTTCCATTGTGCAGCTGAAGCTTTTGTATGTATCATATCTAAGAAAATTTTCTCACATTGCAAAAAATTTATTGGTCCCGTTTCTTTCCTTTTGCTTATAAAGAAGTGCGGGAACATTTCATAAAATGGGTCAGTTCTGTCACAAACTTTGTCCTTTTACTCATATAACTTATGTGAATTGGCAGGTGAAAAGTCTCCGGCTTATGGTCCCCAATACAGGGAAACTGGCCTGGGTCTTGTGCATCTGGCCCAGGGGGACATTGTTTAGAGGAGGGCATGTGAAAAGTAAAGTTCAACAGTATGCCTAATATGAGTGCAAGTCGTCTTTGACTTTGTATTATTTTCTCCATTTCTTTGAGGACATGCGTGTAATTCATTGAAATGCTGAGCTTTGATGTTTTAATTAAAAAATGAAGTTGACTTCTGTAAGAATGGTTCCATTTTTCTGTTGTTTGTCTCTCAACACCTTTGATTTCTCTTTCGTCCCCAGAAATGCAGTGACCGGTCATGGAAGCCAGTATTTGCAGTATTAAGACAGAACGAGCTGTACCTTACCAAAGACAGGGAAAGTAGTTCGGTGAGTGTTTCTGACATTTCTTTATCCTTGGTCTGCTGGTGTAACATATTTTATTTGATCCCAATCTCTGTAATCAAATTTCGGAATAACGCCTTTTTAAAATGGTTATGCTGACAAAAAAGCCTGTTTATCTTGAAACTGCTGTGAATAAGAAAAAGGCGTTTCGTCAGCTTACGGTAGACATGTCTGTTGACTTAATGATATCAAGGCTCCTCGTTGAAATTTCTTGAGTCATATAACTTACTTACTGGGTACTCGTTCGATGAACGGACTAAAAAAAATCGATCGTCAAGTCATTTTGGAATCAGTGTGCACTGGTTGTGAATGGAAGCCTCACTTATTTACAATGGCGTCTTAGAAGACAGACTTTCCGAAGATTAGACCTAAACGAAACTAATGGAAAACTGAAAATTAAACTACAGTGACTTCAGACTCTTTAATATAACTGTACACCCTTTAAATGATTCTGAACCACTGTTAATTTTTTCATATTGGAAAGTTAAATGTTTCGAAAGTTTTAGGCGACCAAAGTGATGAACTTTTACAAATATAATATAATAATATAGATTAAGACTGAGGTCTAATTAAGTCATCTGTGGTGTGTAGCACTATGGCATTTTGTCTCCTGTAGCAGAATACTGAAGTTCTATTCCTGAGTGAAGAAGTTTTTTTTTTGTCGAGTGTCTCCGTCTGCCTCTTGGTGTGCTGTATCCCTCTCAGCTCTGGTAGGCCCTGACTGGGAGGGTTGAAGCAGCCTGCCTCCTTAATGATTTAAATTGTGTCAGTTGGGGCATAAACTCACTTGTATCATACATCTATCGTCCTTATCTCCCCTCCTTTTTTATGTTTGTTACTCTCTTGTAACACCTCTAATCTTCTGGCGCTCATATGACCTTATACAGTTGCGAGCGCCGTAAAACCTCTACTAAAAAAACCTCACTTGAGCCTATTATTGTGTATTAATTGTTCAATGTACCACAAAACTGTTAGGCTGCAATGGTTGTTGGGGGAAAAATAGCTCAGGCTCAAGTGAGTTAAGGCATCTACTATTACTGTAACATCTGATAAAATCAGACGTTTTGAGAATTGCTTTAGTGTGCTGACTTTTCTGGATTCATCTTTTTCCATGTAAGAATTATGTTTGTCCTTCTTTTTCTTCTCAGACCTCCAGCAATTTTGAAGACCAGCACATCCCGCTCAGGTCATGCATGGTGGAGATTGCTCACGATTATGCGAAGAAGAAGAAAAATGTGTTCCGGTTCACCAGCCACCAGGAGTGTGAGTACTTGTTCCAGACAGAGGACAAGGGCACCATGCTCATCTGGATACAAGCCATCAAGTCCATTAATGAGCCAGAAAAGGCAGAGAAAATGGTGAGTCTCATATCTCCCAATGTGCTGTGCTTGGATTCTTCCATCATGGGGTTTATTTTAGTCCTTCTCTGTATAATCTTTGGTTTTCCCTCTTCCTTGTTCAGTCTCTGGGGTTTTTATTTCCTTGTTCTTCTCTGTTCGTCCCTTTATGTTTAAGTCCTTTTCAATCCAATCTTTGAGAGATTTAAGCTCTTCTCTGTACCAGCTTCGTGTCCTATACTTGCACTTTTTATTTCCTTGTCTAGTCCAGGATTTTTAACTCTCTCTCTCTCGCTCTCTCTCTCTCTGTCTGTCTGTCTGTCTGTCTCTCTGTCTCTGTCTCTCTCTCTGTCTCTCTCTCTCTCTCTCTCTCTCTCTCTCTCTCTCTCTCTCTCTCTCTTCCCCCCCCCCCCCACACCCCCCAATCTACCATTTCTGTATTATTTTACTGATGATTGTAGCAAACTCACCATACATTGCTATTCAGAAACAAGAACAGCTGTCTTTGAAGATTTTCCTGAGTGGGTGGTTGGTGGACGCTCTGGTGTGATCTGCTCCTTCTTTCCTATTAAAAAAATCTATCGTCTCTATCTCCTCTCCTTCTTTTTTGTGTTTGTTACTCTGTTGTAACACCTCTAATTCTCTTCACTTATATGGATTTCATATATTCCAAGCTGTTTACATTTTGAGCAAAATATTGTTCCCTACTGGTTGTACCTAGTCCCTCATGACTTCTTTATACCCAATATAATTAACTTGTGAAGTGTTAAGTCTTGGTGAGTGGTTGAAGGAAGTCACTGGTAGTTCCTCCTTGTTTACTTTCTTCTCTCTTTGTTTTTCTTACTGCCTGCACAGTGTTTTCCACAGCATGAAATGTTTGTTATTGTATTGATGTGGTTTTTTACTTTATCCCAAAACTCTGTGCTAAATCTTTTGTTTTGTTTTGTCCACTAGGATGCTCTCATCGCCAGCGAGCAGGCTGTGCCTAGCAACAAGATGTCGCCACAGCTCGGGGGACAGAAGGGGGGCAGGAAACTCTCAGCGGCTCTCTCCATCAAGGCAAAGCTGGCCACCTCTCCGAGCATGAGACGGAAGAAATCCAATGCCTCCGAGAAGGAAAAAGAAAAAGGTTATTGTTTAGAAAAGAGCTTAAAAAAAAAAATGCCTTAACTTTGTGTGTTGGATGGTGAAGGGGAGGCCTAGCCTAACCAGAGAGAAATTGTAGGAGGCTTGTCAAGTGGTCTCCTTGAACTCCCTGTGGTCATAGAATTTTGTGTATTTCAGTGCTTTTAGGTTTTAATAATAATTCCTTGTTTATTAATGCTTTCTGTTGTGCGTTCATTCTTCTCTGTCTGCCCGTTCTTCCTCTTGTTATGTGTTTACATTTTCAAATTGATGGGTATGTCTATCCCTCCTTTCTTTTATTCTTTAAAGTGAGTGGTTGAGAGGACAAGTTCTTTACTGTTGCACGAGAAAGTGCGAGTTTTATTTCCAAACGAGGAAAGTCATTTATCTAGTGTCTGTGTCTGCCTATCTGGGTTAGCTCTGACAGGCAGGATTAAAGCAGTCTTATTTGCTATGATCTACATTGTGTTACAGTTACTGTTGAACTTATCTAAGACAGTCACCATTGTTGAGGAGAAAAGTGGTTGTCTTAAATGGGTGGAAGTTTTACACAGTTCATTATAATATAAAAACAGGCGGGGGAAGAGATGGATAGAAAGTGGCCTTCGGTACGTGGGGTTTTCTTACGCGTAGAAGGCGGTGAGACTGGGTTCGAATGTCATTTTTAAAAATTGATATATAAGTGTTATATTGTCAGTGTGGACCTTTTTAACGTAATAAAAAAATTTCACACCTCCTCAGGTGAAGATAACCTGAAAAAGGGCTGGAAAGGTCGCATCCCAATGATGAAGAGTCTGAAAAAGTCGAGTGAAGATTCGAGTGCCTTGACGCTGGTGGAGCCTTATGTAGACAATGACAACATGCAGTTTGGAGTCCCTCTGGAAGATTGTTTCTCCTCCCCACACAACGAGGTAAATTTAGTTTCTTAATTTAGAATCGTATACAAGCTGTCTATGTTCTCTAACGAATCAAAAAGTAACAATATTAAGCCTGTAGGGGGGGCATCAAAGTGCACCTTCTTGGGTGAAAAATGTATAGGCCTCCAACATATTATTATGAAAAGGGGGGGTGGTGGTGTCATCTCGATGGAATGAAAGAGTGTGTTGGTTGCTTGTTAGGGGTTTAATGTCGCTGTAAAGGCAAGATGCTGTACTATAGACAGCTTTATTTTCGAGAGTATTTTAATTTCGCAAAAGTAAACTTAATAGCTTGCGAAAATAAAGTGTGAGCACTGTGGAAGCAGCAATGTCGACTCGTTTCCATGTTAGAGCAAGCGAGCTATGTTTAGGTTCTCTACTAACATTAGAGAACGTAGACAGCTTATATATGTTCTCTAACGTTAAAGAACATAGACACTACCTTTTAAAAATCAGGACAGAACACGGACAGCTTTTGATGTTTGTGTGTCCATTTTGTTGAAAATACCTGGGTGATGACTGTTTTTCAGTTTTTTAATGACTACTACCTTCTGTTATTTTCATTTGGATGAAGTGCTCCTTCTCTTCTTCTTCCCCACTGTATTTCATATTCAGACAGGTTTTCTAGTTTTTTCTCCACTCATTGTAACCCACATGGTATGGATGTACATCTCTATATCTCAAGCAAAGAGGTGTATGATTTATGAGCACACTGATAGCTCAGTTGGTATTTTGCTGGGTTTTGCTATGGTGCAGATGACTTGTGTTCGAATCCCAAATGAGGAGTTCTTGAATCTGAGTTTTAGTGGAGTGTAATAACTCTTCAAGTATCTAGCTAGGTCCAAAAGGAGATGGGTCTTGAATTTGGAGATACGTTGTCTTTGATAAGCCTTACCTTGTTAAAAGGAATGTTTTTTCCGAGATAAAGCAAGCAGTTTATATTCTTCAAGTACTTTAGTTTTAGTTTTTGTAAGAGTTTTACGGAAGTTGCAACACATACAAGTGCCGAAGAATAGATGTGTCACAAGAGAGTAACATACACAAAAAGGGAGGAGAAGAGACAAGGATGATAGATGTTTTATAGGAAAGAAGGAGAAAACCACACCAGAGCACCCACCAACCACCCACTTTCGAGTACTTTGAAAGGGGCAATCAACCCACAGTATATGAATCAATTTGTGTTTGTTTCAGTATGTTCCCCTCATTGTGGAGTTGTGTACCAGCATTGTGGAGGCTCGTGGTCTGGAGGTGGTTGGCGTCTACAGAGTGCCCGGCAACTCAGCGGCCGTCAACGCCCTCACTGAGGAATTCAATCGAGGCATCGACAATGTCAACATCGACAACGAGAAACTGCTGGACATCAATGTCATCAGCAGTCTGCTCAAGTCGTTCTTCCGCAAGCTGCCCGAGCCTCTAGTGCCCTCAGGTATGCTACCCCGTTTGCTGGTGTGAGTTTGTGTTGTTTCCATATCTAGTAATGTTAATTACAATCAAAGCAATTTTTGTTTCATGGTGATCATGGTTATATAGTACTTACAAAGTGAACATTCTTTTTTAAGATGATGAGGATGGTTGTACTTAAAAAAAAGTTTTTAAGGATCCTCTTTTTAAAAAATGCTCGCCATTATGTATTATTGCAGATTGCTTGTGTGCTCCAAAATGAGGAATTGAGATTTTGACGTCTGATTTATATTTTCTTTATGTTTTGATTTTTAGATGATTGATTATATCATTAAATTTGTTGGATTTTTACAGTGAACCCTATGTCCACAACTCTATTGGTATTTCAGAGTCCTATGATGCCTTTATTGAAGCCAGCCGAAATCCAGATGAAGACAAAAGGAAACTGAAACTGAAGCGATTACTGCATCTTCTCCCCACCCACCACAATGAAACATTCAAACATGTGGCTGTACATTTGAACAAGGTTGCAACATATGGCAATATCAATAAGGTAAGAACTTTGTGTGCTTTGATGTCTAAGAGATTTTTAAAAAAGATATCCTTTGAAATTGTGATAGAGTTCAAATACCTATTATCAAGATTAGTCTGGTTTGATACAATTCTTGACATTGTAAATTGGCCTAACGTAAAAGGAAGTATTTGAATTAATTACCTAATGCCCTTAAGTAAGGTTTTTGAGTAATGTTTTGTATGTCTTGTACAAGTATTTTTTCTTTTTTTTTAATAGTAGAGGGTTTTACAGCACTCGCAACTGCATAAGGTCATATGAGCGCCTTTTGTCGTTTTGTCTTGTATTTGCATCATCATTTTATTTCTCTTTTATTCACTTTCTATGCAGATGGATGCAAAAAATCTAGCCATTATGTTTGGACCCACGCTGGTGAGGAAGAAAGGCGATGACACAGTGTCTCTGGTCACTGATATGTCTGATCAGTGCCGGATTGTGGAGAGCATCATATTGCATGTGAGTGGTACTCTTTTATTTTTGCATCTGTGCAAATAGTACACTATTTACTGCACCCAAACCTCTGTATCAGTTTTTTTTAAAAATCTGTCAATTTTGCTTTTTCCATACGCAGAATAATCATTATTGTATTCATGAGGTTCTTTGTAGTCAAACTGAACAAAAAAAAGGCTAATAAGTGGGTGGTCACTTGGGGGGGGGGGTTGTTGTGTCCTGAACAAGATACATTATCATGATACTACACTGTATAGTCTTACTTTTTCAACTCTAAGTGACTGTCATTGTGTCAGTGTGTTTCTCTTTAGTCAAAGAAGCTTTGCAGTATAAACGTAATCTCCCTTTGGGTATATCAATAAAGTTGTTTTCTTTTCTGTTCTTAAGATTGCTTTTCAATTTGTTTTCTAGCACGAGTGGTTCTTCAGTCCGTGGGATCAGGACAACTACATCCCCATGGAGACTTCGGTGGAGACTGTGACAGTGGATGAGAATCATGGATACAGAGATGACGATGGTCAGTGAACAGTTTCCACTCTTTGATCTTACTGAAATAGTGAAGATATTTATTTTATTACTTCCCTTGTACTGGTTGTCAACTCAGAGGGAGTCAGCTTTTTTTTTGTGCTTGTTCCTGGTGAAAAGTTGCAATTGTCAAACCTCTCTGAGTGATGCCTTACTTCTCGTGTTCTGTCTTCCTCCTGTTGACTCTTTAGCCATGTGCTCACTACAGTCAAACCTGTGTAAAATGGCCACCCATTGTCAAGGAGAAAAGTGGGCATATAACACAGGTGGCCATCTTAGGCAGGACTGATCAAAATGAAGAAAGCAATTTAATCATACTCTTCCGAGGTTCAAACCAGGGCTGATCTTAGGCTTTTGTCTTTTGAAAGGGGGGGGGGGGGGGGGGTGTGTAAGGTTTTTTGTGTTTATTTTTTTTTTGGTTAACTTGATTTTGTGTAAGGGTAAAATAAACTAAATGTTATGTAAGTAAGACGATGAAGACTGAGTGCCATGGTAAAACAAACACACTGGTCACCACCACTCGGAGAACGAGTAAAGTAAAGCTTTTGTAGCAAGTTCACGTCAATGTTCATTGTTACTTTGTTACAGATTAAGTAAACGAAACAGTGACCGGTCACCTCACATACGATCTGTGCATGAGTTGTGGGTAGGGCTTGTAGGTTATGACGGATCATACTACCCTCACCCGCAGTTGAAAATTTATTGTTAGGTCCACCCTTTGGTCCAACTTGGGTAAACATTTATTGGAGGGACTAACAATAACAAAAAGTGAATGAAATATGACAGCCCATCCGCAGCATGAGGGGCTGATTGAAAATTTTCCAGTGGGTTGATAAAATAAGATGGTCGCGGCCGCGTCGGACAGGTGACCGTTTTACACAGTTAAATTATATATAGGAAAAAAAGGGGAAAATGGAAAATGTCCGTTTGTACATATGGCCGTCATGGCAGGTTTGCCTGTATTTGAGGTCACATTTTGTCTCTCAGATTTTGTGTAGACTGTTGCGAACTTTGGTGTCTTGATCTTAGATCTGTAATCAGATGCTGCTGTATAGAGGCTCGTGTGCTGTCTGTAAATTTCTAGGCGGAACTTTCAATGGAAACTGATCTTTATCTGCGTAAATCTTAATCTGAGATGTGAGAAAAAAGATTATTTATATTGCTTATAGTTCAGAAATTTGCTTCTAGTTGGTGGGAGGACACCACCAGCAGGTTTTGCTTCCTGAGTATCCCACTTTTGGCTCTGTCTGTCTTGCTCTTCTTCAGCACCAAATGACTTTCCTTATATTTTATTTTTTAATTAGAAATTATTTTTTTTGGTGGGTGGTTAGCACGTGCTCTGGTGTGGTTTGCTCTTTCTTTCCCTATCAAATATTTATTGTTTTTATCTCTCCTATTCCTTTTTTGTGTTTGTTACTTTCTTGTTGCACCTCTAATCTTTGGCACCTAAATGGCATTATTGTGTTGCAAGTGCTGTAAAACTCATACTTATTTTTCGTTTTTGTGTGTTTGCAGAAGAGGCAGACTCCGCTATCAGCACAAAGGAAATTATCTCTTCCATTGTGAGTGCAGCCAGCAAAAAGCTACGCAGCCGACAGCAGCAGAAGAGTCTGGATGGTTTGGACATAGTAGACGGCAGCAACAGCACGGCGAGCGCCAGCCCCGCCTTCAACGAGAGGAACATAGATGATGCTGTGTACCTCGCATCTCTCACCAAGTCCCTTTCTTCAGTGGTGTCTTCCCGCAGCGGATCTGACGAGTACATAGGCAGCAAAACATCTTCTCCAGCAATTCACCGTTTCCACGAAATGCATCCTACGGCACCCATCGCTAATTCTGAACCAGATTTCCCCGATCTGGAATATGCCGACGCGGGCAGTCCATCTTCCTTAGGTTACGTTCGCCGGCTTTCTGAAGATTCTTTGGCAGATAAGAACGACGAACTGGAGATTTCCCATGGTATCCCCACCAGCATGAGCCGCGACGCCATTCATAACACGTTGAAAAGGATAGGCAACGATGTCAGCGTGTTGTTGCAGACTTTCGAACAGAAGCAGAACAAGGAGAGGGAGAGAAGGAGGAGGGAGCAGGAGAGAATCGAGCAAGAGCATCAGCGAACACAGCTGGAGTTGGAGCAAGAAGAGCGGCACAGTGTGGAAGACTGGCTGGCTATCAAGGGCGGCATGGTACCCTCACGAATGCCTGATCTCGTCAGCAGTTCCTACATTGGTGAAACATTTCCTTACGATCATGGTTGTCACATGGGCAGTGCAATCCCCGCTATTCGCAGAACTGATGCGAATGGTGTTGAATACAGTATTGAGAGAAGTGGAAAAAAATTGAAGACTCCATCAGGCCCTATGGTGGCAAGTGTTCCGCCCTCTGTTCTCATTACTGGGCCTGGGGGTTGTGAGCGTATGGTGGGACCTCAAGAAGTTGTGACTCTTCAGGCAAGAGCTCAGCCTCATGAAATGAAAAGTGTTAGTTCCTCTTCAATGGTCCCGAGCCAAATGAGACATAGGGATGCCCAGGCAAAAGCCGCATTTCTTGGTCTAGGTGTGGACAGGTATGTTCCACGATCAGGCTCAATACGGCACAGCCTTGGTCGACGTCATGGCTCCCTGGATTCTCTGATCGACTTCTTAGACCGCCAGGAAAAGAGAGCTTCATGGGCATCCTCCGACTCTGAGGATGGCTCAGACCTCCTCACCAGCATCACCACCACGTTTGATCAGAAACTGCAAATCCTCCTCAACCCCAAGTATAAGCTTACAGGTGCCAGCAGGAAAACTTCGAAGGCAGAAGCCCCTGCCAGCAAAAGTGAAGCCAAAACTGAAGTTGACAGCAACAAGCATTTAGATCTCAGCAACAGGAGCAAACAGCTCAGCACTGCGGCTGCTACTGCTGACAGCTCCCTGCATGCCCTTACAGCAGCGGCAATAGTGGACTCTGATGGGTCTTTTAGGGATCCCAGCCTTCACAGGTCGGCCAAGTCTGACCCGAAAATCGGCATCGCCTCGCGCTTTGAGAGAGTCACAGACAGCAGCCGTGCTGCTTCCTCCTCCCCTGTGACTGTGCCCAACGTCCACTTTGAACTGGGTCCCTCTGGGAACCCACAGCGGCGAACACAGCTACCAGACTTCAGGTCTTTCTTAGGCAAAACTTCTGGTCAGTCCAGAGACGGAGGGTCTGTTGTTTTGACCCAGCCCAAGAAACTGGAAGGTAGCAAGCACTCCTCCTCCTCCAGGGGTGCACGACCAATATCGAAATCTGAAAAAACAGAGAGGAACTCCAATCTAGCCAGACTATCGAAGGGAGAGGATAGTTTTGATCTCAGCGGGAAAGATGGGGGAGATGGGCAAGGGGAGAGAATAAGGAAGAATGAGAGACGGCATCGCCAAAGGAGGCATACAGTTGGGGGGACAGAGGACCTGGAGCATGTGACGGCGATGGCAGATATCTGTGGTCGCCACATGGCAGCGGGGGGTGATAGCAAGGAGTTGAGACTCTCAGCCTGGGAGCAGTTACAGCCTGTTGTCAAAGATGGCAGTTCAGCGGGAGATCGCAACATGCAAGCTTGGATACAGAGAGAGAGACTAAGGGGCAGCACTCCTGACTTGACCTTACAGGACAACAGTGCAATAGAAGTGAGGAAATGAAAACCGTATTCATTTGTGTTTTCTCCCCATTGGCACCTCTCCCCTCATCCCTCCCTCAGATGGCCTTCAAAGAAATGCACAAACGCATGTTGTGTATATGTTTAGTTTAAATGTTTGAAACAAAAGATTGTTTTAGAGAAGTTAAGAGAGTATTTTTCACATAAAGGTTTTGTACACAGGAGCAATTAGCTTTGCTTTGCTTCAAATTTTGTTTAAAAATCATGCACACAGCAAATTTTGGACTTTACGTGAAAGTTTAGCAAATGAAATGTTATAAATCTTGATTCTGAATTTTTCTTAAAACATGAACTTTTTGTTTCTAGGTGTTGTTTAACACTTAATTCCCCCTTATTTTTGTCCTCTGTTACATAACCTGGTTCTCAAATGTTAACAAAGGTCTTCAGGTTATAAATTAGACCATTAAATCACTAAAATACCTTAAGCAACACTTTTCTGAAAATATAAAATATTCCTAAGTCCTGTAACTTGGGATTGTCATCAGTTAAAATGTGTCCATGGGTTTGTTTTTGCCTATAAATACTGTCTGTTAGCATAAGTGGATAGGAAATGTGGATGGAAAAGAGCTGAATGGGGGAATTAAGTGCTAAACACTTGCATCAATGTTGCAAAGTATTTGATTGAGTGGAGGAAAGGTATTATTTAACAAGTTGCTTCATATGAAATTTCAGCTTTTTATCTTGTGTAAGTTCTAAAGAATGTTTAACCATCTAATAGTTTGATGATTAGAGAGTCTACGTCAAATATTCAACACTTCTGCAGAATTGCTGTCGCTGCTGTCTGTTTGCTGTAAATTTAGTTTCTATTCTCTGATTTAATTTAAAGCTGTTCTGTGCCCCTGGAGTATAGCTCACAACTGAGATAAGTGCAAAGCCATGTTCCACACATATCAATACGTTTTTATCATTTTTGGTTGTGTGCAGACGTATGTGGTGATGAAAGTCTAAATCTGTGTATGTGGAGATTAATATTTGCCCTCAAACTGTATATAGGTATGGTGAGAGAACAACATCATCTAGTCTACTGTAGTGGGAAATATTTTTGTTGTTATGTCCTGTCCATTTCTGATTGCTGTATTCATCACGTGTGTGAGAACCACAGCGATCTTGTTTCTCCCAACTTCATTGGGCACTATAAAAAGTAGGGGACATTAAGAGGAATTGGGGAGTCAGGAGAGGGAAAGCATCACCAGCTTATTTAGTTGGCTCCCCTAGAGAGGCATATGTTTAGTTGTTGTTGTTTTTTTGTCAGTTGTAAGGACTAGCTGCTCATAAAGGATTTATTGTTGTGGGAGCATTTCTGTTCTGTGCCAGACACCAGTTTGCATTTAAAATAAAAGTGAAAAGACGTTTGCATTGTCTCAGTTGAGAACATTGAAGCTCAGACCAACTCTCTCTCAACAGAATGTTGTTTTTTTTACTTGTAGTCCGGCTTCAGAAATGCAAAACAGAAATTTCGTTGAACTGTGCCGCTACCACAGTGTATTTTGAGACAGTTCACTGACTAAGATCTTCTTGTCTCATCCTAAGAAATCTTCTCTTGGGCTTGCATGTTGTATACTCGGAACTTTTCGTATTGTTGTTTCGCAGTTTTCGAGGCGTCATGCTCAAGAGAAATCATGGCACAGTTTGTTTTCCAAATGGAAAAGTGAAGATAATTCATCAAATGATATTAAATACATGTCAGTTGCTTGTCTAGTCTGTTTTTGTGTTAATACATTGAATTTCTAACCATGTTTTCTAAAATGAGTGAATTTTAGCGGGTTTACTACAATATTGCAGTACTGAGTTTCATTTGTATGTATACCATGACCTGGTTTTCTCATTCTAATGTTTGGTCATACCTGTGTGTGCATGTCTGAGCTCAGCAGTGTAGTGACAGTATTATTCCTGTCTGGCACAACAGCACCAAAATGCTCCAGCGGGAAAA